AAGTCCCTTTCAGCACCATTTTTAAATCTAAAAACATCCAGAGTTCTCCCTTTGCAGAATCTCTCATAGACATTCCCGCACACATTTCTCTCTATGCCTGCATCTTTGCAAATATCATGACTTTACTGCCTGTATCAGGGGTAAAGATAGGAAATTGGAAATCTCTCCTGCTGAAGTTAATACCTCCCCCATGTCTGCATTTCCAAAAGTTATTAATGTAATGTCTGCAATGCCAGCTCTCTTAAAAACGTGGTGGTCACATATTCACCTCCTTTCTTTCAAGCCTCAGAAGATGCACTACATGCTTTAAGGCTGCCTTCCCCCTATCCTGTTACACCAGTGCGACATGAAGCAGTAACTGTGCTCTTAGCCACTGTCACTCCTCACCAAGTTGGTTTTCACCAGAATCACCTAGAAACAGTTACAGAGGTCCTTCACTGGCTTTGTTCACAGACAATACATGACTTTCTTTCACTTTTTGCTGCATGATGAACTCTCATGCTACAGAAAATACAGGGAACATCTGAGGAAGAAATGGAAGATGTCTGTAATTAATATGGTGTCAAAACGAGACCATCCACATCCACGCTCTACTTAGAATTTTAGGGATTTTGTTAGCAGAAGGAACTGAAGGCAGTTTGTGATCCCTTTCCTACAATATCTCTAGAAACCACTGGGATGGGATGATTGAGGGTGTTCGCAACACTATCCAGGATATTCCAGAGGTTTAAAGTGTTGGTTTTTTAATCCCACAAGGGGAATATGCAGCGGCTCATCTCAAAAAAAGAACTTTAGTTACAGGTTTAACCTCATTTCTGGCACTTGCAAACAAGTTGATGTTCAACAGAGGCATTCAATGTTGCACAATCCTTGAGGAAGAAGTGATCTTAGCAACTCATAATGGGAGAAGAGAAGGCTTGCAAAATAATCTCCCTTGGTTTGTCATTCCCACATGGAAAAATCAGTTGTCTGCTGGTACAGAGTGTTCCTGGCCTCCCCTTCTGTAAGTCAAATTACAGTGTCACCAAAATACAGAATGTGTATCGGGAACATGCCTCTGGTGTGAATTTACTGCACGTGTTCCGATGCATTCATACATGCATGCTGAGCTTCCAATTACAGCTGAACCCCAAATACCAAAGTGGTGTGGCCAGTAGGCAACTGGTAACATCACCAACAACTTTCGGTAGACACAGCTCTATTTAAGGACTCATTACCTAATTTCTGACCCAGCTGTTTCCCACTTCTGACATGGCTTGCAACCCACAGATGAGGTATTACAGGGAGCGCAGGAACTGCAGCTGTGTCAAGCAAGCAAGAAACACAGGTCTAACTATTGCCACCAGCACTCAAGCACACAGGTAGAGTCCATCCCTGAGTGGTCTCCAATGCCTGTTTTTGTCACACTAATGAAAACCAGACAAAACCAAACCAACAAAACCACTGAAATCAGCCCTATGATAGTTTGAACATAACATTCTCCCCAACTGTTTTGAAGTTACCTACCTCTGTTCCCTTCCAAGGAAAGCCAAGCAAGGGACTCCTAGATGTGCTCTGGACATCTGCAAGGATACATTTTATCTATGACCCTTCAGTGTGTGCTACTTCAGCTTCATATTTTAGTTTTTTTCTTCCTCCACAGTACTTATAACTCTGTGATATCTTTAAGACAGAGTTGTTCACGGGTGCCTGATAAAAGTCAGAGAAATCTGGTAGACATCTTAAAAAATGCATCTTTCAGCAAAGTTCAATGTAAAGAGAGTTCCAATTAAATGTAACATGGTACACTCAAAATCCCAAGTCTCTAATTTTGTTTCAATTATTATTCTCTTAATATGTTTCTTCCCTTCCCGTGAGCGGAGGGATCACATATTAACTAGGGCACAGCATCAGAAAGCTTCCACGGGACACAGGGCTTAGTGGCAAGGTCTGGGCAATATTTTCTCCAGCTCCGTGTGCTCCAAGGTTTTCAGCACAACTCCCAAACGTTAACGTGAGACCAGGAGAGTGACAGCTCTGCCTTGTGAGCTCCACAGACAGCAGAACATTTGCTTGCAACAGCAGTGTTGTCAGGGTTATAAAATTGCTCCCTGCCACTCCATATTTAACAGGGGAACAAAAAAGGCATCCTTAGGATATGCATCATCTAGAATATCCTGCACTTCATGCTAGAGAGATTTTGCTGGTTTGTACTTCTTACAGTTTTTTATCCACAGGAGGACAGAAATGCAAGGTATTGGGAGGAAAATGCTTGCAAGGGGGGGAAGGGAGCTCACAGTTTAATTCTGTAATCTCATTAAAGGTTAAATAAAGAAGTGAGTAAAAGTTATGCTGCATTAAACCTGAGTAAGGAAAACATGCAAGTACCAAGAGGCTCTTTATACTATCAGAGACTGAGATAGGCCAAAAGGTAAAAGTTAAAGGCAGATTTACTGAAATGAGAAAAACAGGTCCACGTCCATAGCAGAAAGTGTAACTAATAATTGGAACCGTGAACCAAAGGAAGTGGTGGATTGTCCAACCCTTGAAATTTTCTATCAAACATCGTCAAATGAGATGTTTTTCTCTTTTGCAAGTAGGCAGCTACTCTCATATATACAGACCTTCCCTTACTTATGGGTATTCCATTACACGGAGAGCGATGTGTCAAAACAAGTCAGTACTAAAACAAATTGGAAGTCTATGTCCTTCACTATGCAAGCCATCAGCCGTGCAAGTAGAGCCTTCCAGCTTGTGAATATATTTAGTGAGAAAACTGAAGAGAGGACAGCTTTGCTGCCACTGATTGATGAGTTAAACTGGTTGATTGGTGGTGCTGGCAATGACCGAATTCCTGTTGCAGCTGCAAGGCCGATACATGGAGCTGGCTCTGAGAGCTGGAGTGTCTCCGGGACCTCACAGGCAACCGCTGCGGTTTCTTACCAGTGCAGAGCAAACACGGCCGGCAGCGTATCATGTTAGCTTGAACTATTCAGCACAAATAACCAAGGACTCAGTCAAGAGAGATCTGACAGATTTAGATGGAGTGACTGAAGATGATACCAATACCAGCTGTCTGCTTCGTGGGCCTCTACTTGATGCCTCAGCGAATATATGGTCTGTGAAACAGGCTGGCTGAGGCACAGATTTCATATTATTTGGCCCTGCCTATGCTGGCAGAAAGGTGGGTTGGCCCCGAGTGCCAGCGATGCCTCAAACCGCTGCATTTTGGGCTCCCAGCGCCAGTCTGTTGGTGGTCTGCAGTAATGAGGATGTGGCAGCGCAGATTTCAGAGCAGGAAGGACTGCCAAGCACAAGCGCCTCGGGGATCTGGAGTGCACACTGTGTGCGCTGTGTGCTGGGAAACAGCACCCGGGCTGACGCAGCAGACAGACAGAAATTACACTCTGCACATCAGTAGGAGCTACTTATTCCCTCACGTACAATGACTTAAACACGGTCGTGAAGAGCAATGAAGCAAAATGGTTTGAGAAAAACAATTCCTTCTTATAGGAAAAGCACTAGAAACAAGAGGTGTGCTTCACATGTGTTTGACAAAAATCCGACAGAGGCTGTACGCAGGTAGGCAGCCAGGTAATGTTAGGTGCTCTCGTGAATAATTCACATTATAATTCACATTTAGAGGCAGAAATGTTAGGTAACTTTGCCAGCAGATTCAAAAGCTATTGCTACAGAGAGTTAGAGAATCATTCCCCCTCCTGCACACCAATTAGGGTTTGTATTCACTGCACTGATTGCATTTGGGCTATGAGGAGGCGAAGGAAAAAGAAGCTGAATCTCCAAAGACACATCCAGGCAGCCCTCAAGCCTGAAAATCCAATCTCAGGCTGACAGTTGGCCATGTAAACACTTTAAATCTTTAAGGATTACTGCGAAACTGAGGCAGGTAAAATCCACAAATGGCTAGAAAGCAAACCCAAAATCTAAATATTGCCATTTCGTCCGAGCACAGCCCCACAAAAAACCTCATGCAAAGTCCTGTTGCAACAGCCATCGCTTCTAAAGAGATGCAGAGCGGCCGCCCTCATCAAGCAGCGCTCCAGATGGGTTTCCCCACACAGAAGTAGTGCAAGTAAAGCAGGAGCAGATGAAGACAGTGCCAAAGAGATGCTGCACAGATGGCAATGCTGCAGCACGGACTTTCCAGAAGTCCTACCAAGCGACAGCCTTGTCTCTCCTCAAAGCCTGTAACCCTACAGCGTTTCTGCTGTCTTTACGAGGGTACTTTGCTTTCCCTTTGACACACTTGCCTCTTAAATCCTGCAGTGGAAATGAACTGGCTTACACCGATTTTTTTTTTGCAGGTGTTTTTCTCCCAGTTGACCCAGTTTGTCTTTTACTGGATGTGCTGTGTGTCGCAAGAGCGGAGCGAGGCAGGTATGCTCAGAAAGCTCTTGCCAAACCTTTAGGATTAACAGTTTGTTTAGTATTCCTCCTACGGCCCGTCATGCTGGCCTGTGTGAGATTTCAAGCAGAAAGCAGCAATCACTTAGCATGCTGCCGCTGTTACTGTTAAATTCATTTGGCTGACTTGAGAGGGACCGAACGAGGTCTGCCCATGCTCGGGGGCTTCCAGTCCTCCCGAGGCAATTATTTTCAGGTCCTAAACATCATTTCTGTTCAGAACAAATCACTGAGGGTGCACAACTGGATTTTCCAAAGGATATCGCCAAAGCACACAAGGCTTAACATAAGCACTTGATTGCAAAAAACAAAAAAAAAAAAAACAAAAAAACAAACCAAACCACTTGGTATTTTGACACCTGTAATACAAGCAAGTCAGGAAACCAGGGGAGTGACTTTGTGCACCAGCTGTCCAGCTTGTGCTTCTCTGAGATTTTCAGGTGTGTAAACACAAATTGTCCCAGCTCTGTTACTCCTGGCATAAACTTGGGTGGAAGAAACTTGAAGAATCAAGACCCCGCTCCTGTTGCTGCTTCAGTTCAGGTGGAGAAAATGGGCAGCGTTGTGAAATGAAAGAAGCAAAATAATGAGGCTCTGTATTTTTTATTTATTTATTTATTTTGAGAAATATCAAATTACGATCAATGTCAAGCCCACAGAAAAGAGGGTACAACTCAGCTGGTTTTGGCTTTGGCTACTGTTACTGAAGTCCCTGTTCCAGCAGGCTGTGCCCCTTCCCTGGCAAAGCGCCCTCTTCTTCTGTTTCCTTTTGTGCGTCCACATAATTTCCTGATTATGCAAGTGCCCAGCAAAAACAATTCGCCTGAAAATGAAAATCAAGGCAGAACACAGGACTGAGCTGGTACAGGAGGTTTCCGTGTCATCTGCCTGTCATGCCACAATGGAGAGCTGGGCAGTCTGAGTTCGAGAGGACAATATTTGAGCATGAGGGTGAGCAAAAGCATAAAGAGCAGAAGCAGGTGATGTTCCAGCTTTCTCCTGTACCCTTTTCCAGTACAGCTCCTGCTGGACTGCTAAAATTTCTGTGATATTCCCCAAGGGTTTCCCATGTTTTGGCTTGTAAGTTAATGTAAGTTAAGTAAGTTAAGTAATAGGTAATGTAAGTTAAAGTTAAGATGACACAATTAAAAGGGGCTTAGAAGTGCCCTGTCGATATTAAAGCAAACTGAGCATGGAGGCAGGAGGGCACTGAGATACTCCCCAGAGCCTGGCTTCTCTGCCTAAACCTAGAACAAGTTCCTGCAAAGGGATTTTTCTCCTTCAGCTCTGTGGCATCTAAATGGAGCAGAGGAAAATGAGCTGCCCCGAAAAAAAAATAAAATATATCCCTTCTGTTTGGAAAGCAAGTCTGGTCCATTTAAATCACTAACAGGGCTATTAATTGCATGTTATTTTTAGTGCTGATGGTGATGTGTAGACAACTAAGAAGCAGCATTCCCATGCATCGCTTGAAATAAGATCTCCATCAGGATTTGCTAACGCATCTGAAGGACCTGTCAAAATAACAGAAGCAATATTTGCATTTGCTGACAAGATTTGCCTCTTATGAAGATAGGGTTAACGTGCCTAGCCATGGTTCTTGGCTTCACAGTCACTTCACAAGAAATGCTGGGGACATCGGATAGGAAACATATCTGGAGGCTGAGCTTACCAGTTTTCCCAGATGCCACGAGGATGATAAAAAGAGGCAGGGAGTGCTGAAACATCTCAGCAATCCATTTTCTTGCTAACACTGAGTAATGCCATTTTTTTCTCTCTGTTAGAAAGATAATGGACCTTTCCTGCCTCCTAGTTCTGGAGCAAATTCTTTTAAATAATTTAAAGGGAAGCCTTTTTCTACCGAGTTTCTGAAAATCTGCAAGGAAACGCTAGGTAAGATAACTCTGATAACCCTTAATTACACTGTATGGAACTAGATCCCTCCTAGAAATCAAGTAAGTAATTATAACCTAAACTGTAGGAGGCACATTTTTAATCCCAGCTACCTGGTATAACAACATCAGTGCTACTTACATGGATGTTCCCAGCACAATAATATGAAATCAATCCTCTGCTAGCAGGGAAATCGTTCGGATTTGTAGCAGAGCAGCTGAAAGCAAGTCAGAGCCTCATTTATTGAGCTTATTCACTTCCAGGGCAGCCGTTGACACCAGGGTAGCCATAAACCCTCGTGCTGTTGTTAACCGAATGAGTGAGACTTTCAAATGTATTTCTATTCATAATTTTACAGCCTCCTGTTTGAAGCAGATAAATATTTATTTCAGGGTTATTGTAGCAGGATTATAACATGTCCAGAGACAGATATAATTTATTTTTATTTTTTTAATATCACACAAAATCATTAAATCCCTGAAATATTTCTTCTGCCAGAGCGCGATTTGTAGTTTGCATCCTGATTTCAGCACTGACTCAGCAGAAAGGTACTTCAGGGAGGCTTTTCCAAAAGCTCTGCACTGTTTTTGCAATTTTTTTACCATCAGGGCTTGGGTTCCTAGGCCACCGGGGAGCTGCCAAAAACCAGCTCTTCCTGGGTTTATGTCCATGCACTGAGTGGGGCGGCTCCACAGCTCTGAAGCACCCACGAAGTTCTTGGGGCCTGAAAGCTTTCCCTGCTCTTGCAAATATCCTTGTGGTGGAGATGTTGCTTCGCAGTGAGCAATGCTTTGGTTGAACATAACAAGTCACAGTAACACCAACCACAGTGATGGATGCTCACTGAGAGAGGGACACTCAGGGAGTCGACAAGCTTGGTGTGAGGACCTCAGGTGAGGCACTCTTGTGCCTGAAAAAAGATGTCCTGACAGCACTCTCCAGACTGTTCTTCCTCCATGCATTTTGAAGCAAGGAGGAGAAGGAGAAGGAGAAGGAGAAGGAGAAGGAGAAGGAGAAGGAGAAGGAGAAGGAGAAGGAGAAGGAGAAGGAGAAGGAGAAGGAGAAGGAGAAGGAGAAGGAGAAGGAGAAGGAGAAGGAGAAGGAGAAGGAGAAGGAGAAGGAGAAGGAGAAGGAGAAGGAGAAGGAGAAGGAGGAGGAGGAGGAGGAGGAGGAGGAGGAGGAGGAGGAGGAGAAGAGGACAAAGGTTAAATTAAGAATAAAAAATCCTGCAAGGCAAATGGTAGTGTTTCAGGGTTGTGTAACTGTTGAACTATGAGAAGCTTTAGCTAAAAGCCATGGCCCATTTTCAAAGTAAATCTTACCCAAGTGGTCATGCCCAGCGTGGAAGCTCTGATCAGCTCCTCTCTCTAGAAAGAGAGCAGGGCATGGCTGGCACTTCCCTCATAAGAATATATATGAAAAATGTGTCAAAATAATTTCTAGCCTACAGCTGTCCTTAGCTGGCCTCCTCAAAGATGGAGATTTTTGGAAACATGGTAAAGTCCCAGCTGGTCATCGCCACGTTACCTAGAAGTGACAAAATGACCCTGTTCCTGTATTACATATTTAGTTTCTTCTTCACTACAAGAATCAAAATGCTTGCATATTTTGTTTCCAACTGTTGTGTACCATCCTCATGTACCAGCCAAACCCCTGTGCTTGCAGGGTGCGTGAGTTGGAGACATGGGCATTTGTTAAAGTGTCTCTCTTTATATTTATGGTCCTGCATTTTTCTTCTGCAAAGGAGTGAAGAAAGCTTTATTAATAAGGTGTTTTGAATGTTGATCTGCTTGGCACAATCAAGTGGGCAACTGAATCCAAAATAGTCACTGCAAAATATATTTCGGAACATATTTTCCCTCTGATCCAACATCAGCAGTTGCCAACAAAACAGTGAAAGATGGCTGAGGCGCAAATTTTCATATTAAAAACAAGGTTTTTTTTCAGTTGTTGGGTATTTTCACAAAGCCTTTCTTCAAAGTTTATGTTGTAGAGCTCTTCAGAGAAGCCTGGGATAACCCAAATTCTCAAAATAATGCCTGATTTGTTGATGCCCTTGAAAGCCTGCTATTTTTGTTTTTCCTTTAGAGGGACAGTGAAAGTGAACTGCAAAAAAAAAACCACTTGTGCTGGAAAAAATAACAAAGTGGACGTGGACAAGCATTCACAGTGCAGTTCCTGGGATACCAAAGGACTTTTTCAATGTGTAAGGAGCACAAAGCTGGAGCTAAGTCTCCCTCACATCTCAAAGTAGTACAGGGGGAAAAAAAAATAAAACAATAAAGAAATGTAGCTGTAGCCCTGAGATCAGGCATTACCTATTTGCAGTTCTCATCGTCTTCGTTTGGCTCCAGTGAAGATCAGTCAAAGCAAAATAACCTGAGAATAACAAAAAGCCTAATGGTTGTAGCCGCAGCGACCTGGTGAAACGCACCTCTGCCCTCCTCTGCTCCTGGGAGAGGTAGGAGGCCGCTGCAGCTGCCCTTGCTGTGGGGTAGGAAAAGCTTTGCTGCACTTCCCAGACTGGTGGGGTGTCCCCGTGTCCCCACACGTGCTTCCGTCCCAGGACGGCTGCTTTGCATCCAGGCTGCTGTTCCCCTTGCTGGCTCCGTTCCACAAGCCGCATCGCTTTTGTGGTGTGCATAGACAGGCGTGCAAAACCAGCAAATTAAGGAGGGACACTTTGTTTTTTGGCAAAACAGAGAGCCAGGAAACTACGAGAAACCAGATTTAAAGCCATCCCCGTGCTCTTGCTCCTACACCTTCAAGCATTTGCCCTGGGAACTGATAGTGTAGCAGAGTCCTGTAGTTCAGTGCCATATCATAAGGTGCAGGTTGAGCAATTGAGTCCCTTTTTTGTCCCTCTTCCCTCTGTGGTTGCAGCCTCTTGGAAGAGTATTAGGAGATGGTTTAGAGCAGACCCTTAAAAGTGGCAATCAGAAGCAAAGTCAAGGTTTGGTAGAGCCTGGTGGTGTCTGGGAGGCAATCACATCCTAGGAGGCAATGTGACCTGCCTGCTGGGTGCTGGTGTTCCCAGCAATTCCTCTTAAAAGAGTGCAGCAAAACGGGTCCAGGAAACTTGGGAAGAAGCAGCACATCTCCTGTGCACCTTTACTGACACCTGGCACCAACGTAGGCACAGCGTTGCCTGCCCACACTGAAACCTGGTTGCTGGTGGCAGCCTTGCAGCAGTGACATGAAGATCTGCACAAGCTTCAAACGAAGAAGCACACGAGACCAAAGAACTGCAGGGTGAGGAGGTGCGGAGCAGAGCTCTGAGCTCCTTCCCTCCCTCCCTGCAACATCTCGCACAGGTGCCTGGCCAAAGCAGGGCCCATTCCCTCATTTCATTACCTGCTGCTTTATTTCACCGTCATCCTTTTGGCCGCCAGTAGATGGTGATGGTTTATCTGCATCCAAGATGCAAGCACACATCGGGGAGGCAGGGAGGCAGCATTACAGCCTGTTTGGGGAAAGACTGAAAAATAAAAAAGAGCAGATAAACCCAGGAGTCAGGCAGGCAGTCTCCAGGCAACCTCCTGCTTTCCCGGAGCTGCAAAAACTGCAGCTTTGACGACATCCTCGCTTCCTGGTGTGTTAAAAGGAGCACGTGTGAGAGGGCCTGGAGGCCTCGCTCCTCACAGACACCTTGCAGTCTGGAGGCCAGAGAGACCAAGCAAGTGTAGGTTTTGCTGAGAACGCAGACAGCATCCATCTCCATCTGCAACGAAGCAAGATCCCGGAGATCACGAGAAATAAACCCAGCAGACCTAGCTAAATGCTGCCTGAAATTTGCAACGGCGAAACTCTCGCCATTCCCGATGGACTGATACGTCATTTATTTTGGGGCGAGGCTGCCCTGCTCACGAGCTATATCATTTTATAAAGAAAGAGTGAAGCAACAGATCCATTTGACAGAAAAATCGCCCCAGAGGCAGGTTACGGGGAAATGCTTGTGGAGAAATTGCGGCCTGGGGCTGAAGCAGCACCTGCTGTGCCCATCGTTAGCTAATTACCTCGGCCTCCAGCCCTTTCCTGGCCAGGGGTCCGGCCTCAGCCCCTCTGCCTGCCCCTTCCAGCTGAGAAAGCACTCACGGTGCCGCCTCAGCATCGGGTTTATTATTAATGACCAGCGTCGCTCTGACACGGCACCTACAGGCCCCGGCCACCCAGCAGAGCCCCACGCAGAATATTAAAATGCTGATTTCCCTCTCAGATGAGGCCTCGCTGCTGCCCCTCTGCTCATTTGCTTGCAGATGCTGTCAGGGCCGTGCTCCCTGCAGGATACATGGCCGAGGGTGCTGTTTTCTTCCACAGAGCGTGGCGTGGCCGCCCATACAAAGTTATATCAGGGCACAGCGCATTTCTCTGCCCCATCAGAGGGCCCCAGTGCAGCAGCAGAGCTGGGGAGCTGCTGCCCCTTCCCCCCACACACACTGAGCTTCCCCAGAGAGCTGCATGTGAGGTGCTGATGTCCTGAGCATCATCCCAGCAGAGAAATAAAAAACCAAACCCACAACCACAGCGGGCAGCACCGAGTGGTTGAGTGCAGCCCAGCTTTTCACGGAGGGGGATGAAGAGAAGCAAGAAGGAGCCAAGAGCAGGACCAAGATCTGGGTCTTCTGCTGCAACCCCTACATGGGGGCTGCCCGGTGTCCTCTGTCACCAGCAGGATGCTCCAAGCAGCTGGCACAGCAGGAGGGGCAAGCACAGGTTTGGCTTTTTGCAGCTCCCTGCCGAGCCCCAGCCGTCCCGTGGGATTTGCCAGCAGATGGCAGGCAACCCCTGGCAGAGGTCCTGTTCACCCTGCCTGGCTGCTCAGCTCCTCAGCCCCATCCACACGGCAAAATCCTCTCCTTCCAGCCCTCCTGCCCCTTCCCCTGCGGCCCGGTGCCAAGCACAGCACCCAGCCGGCCAGCTGGAGGTGAGGATGGGTGAGGGGAGACTTGGTGGGAGCTGGCAGCGCTGTGAGGAGGTGGGTGAGGAGCCAGGAGAAAAAGAAAAAAAAAAAAAGAAAAAAAAAAGCAACTGCTGGGGCATCTATTTTGTTTTCAAGCCTCTAGCAAAAGCCAGATCAGACTGCAGCAGCTCTGCTCTGAGGCCAGGCAGTGCAGCCAGCACAAGCCAGCTCTCCAAAAGGCTCTGGGAAAGCAATTGGCTCCGACCCGCGCTCAAGCTGCTTGTGGTTTAGGCGATGGAGAGCCCTCAGCCAAACTCCTGTCAAGAAACGTGAATTTCAACATCTGCACGGAGCTCTCTATCAGGAGGGAAACCCACAAAACACAACCCCTAACTGATAAACAGCGCTGGCTGCCTACAGAGACACCCGCTGCTGGCAGGGCGGCAAAGCCCCGGCTCTCCCCGGCTCTGCAGGAAGACGTCCTTTTAGGAGGACGTCTAGGAGGATGGCCATTTTGGGGGGCTGGTGGGCAGCAGGGTTTCAGCTTGCACGTGCTCCAGTGTTTCAGTGTCCAAATGTTTCTTCCAAAGGCTTCTCGGGAAGGTCCGGCTATCTTCTCGTGGAGTGGGAAGGTCATCAGAGTCGGTGCAGGTCTTTGGGTGTTTGTCCTGCCCAAAGCTTGGGGTGTGCACTACAATGTGCCGTAACCTTAGGTGTCCTGACCAGCAAACACCCGAGCTGTCAGGCAGCTCCCCGAGATCGCCAGGACCCAGCAGCACTGGATCTGGGATGCTGCAGGGAAGCAGAAGGACATGCTTCAAAAAAAAAAACCCTTCCAAAAGTCCTACTGCCACCCAAGCACGGGACTTGCTGGGCCTTCCTAGCGACATCAGCTGGCACATCGCTGCGGGCCCCAATCCTTTTCACATTTTCAGCTGCTTGCTCTCTCCTTAGCAAAGGCGGGATTCACGGTCAGACTTTGGAGAGTTCAGAGAGTTTGCCTGAAGAGTCAGAGCTTGCAGAGCATCCAAGAGAACAGACCTGAACACCGGGGCCTCTCCCGCCCCAGCAGCAGCAGCCGCAGCCCCTCCCGGCTCACCTCGGGGACTTCTGGCACCTTTCCTGCGACTCCCACTCACTGCAACGCGCGTTGACAGCTTGCATAAGGTGGGCCCGTTGCTCCTGGGGCTTGGGTAATCCTCTCCCTTTCCCATCTCCACACGTGGGCCTCGCAGCTGGAGCTGCCCCGTGACCGCGCGTTGCATTGGAGCAGCAACCCCAAAGGGAACTTCTGCGCCACCCGCACCACTCGCAGAGGACCAACTCAGTGCTTTGCAAACACCACAGCCAACACCCAAACGACTCTTGCAGACGAGATGGTTTGGGCTCAGGGCGCCGGGGTCTCGCTCAGGACACCGAGTTTCCCAGCAGCAGCTCCAGCGCTGCAGGAAGCGCTTGCAGTGGGGGACATCTGGCCTGGAGCACCCGAGGCTGCCGAGCATCGGGTAAACCTGAAACCCGCCCGCTGAGGGCTCAGCACTGTTATATTTAGCGTGCACTGTTCTTCTGGCTACGCAGGGTATCCGGTTCTGTTACTGCATTTTGGGGGAGCAGACTGTTCCTTAACTCCGTATTCGGACATGTGCACGAGAGGAACGAGACGTAGGAAATTCGGTCTTTTTTTTTTTAACTCAACAGAAGACTCTCAATGTCAGCATGGCTTTATTAGCCACACCAGCCTAAATAAACTTAGGACGTATCCTAATAACTAATATAAGCATACTTCTGAAGTTCACCTGTCTGGCAAGAGCCTGAAATCCCGAAGCACAAGTGTCTTTCGTTTTGACATCTACCTGTGGCATATGCAGAAACCATCCATGATCCCACAGAAGTAGGGATCCTTCCCACTCCCTTGCCCTGTCCTCTCCACATTCGTGTCACATCCCACGCACTGGAACCTCAGGCCATACAAGGTGAAGACTGAACACCGCTGTGGTGCTCTTTGGATTTGATTTTCCAGGTAGCCCGCAGGCTACACAGAGCCACAGACCAGTGAGCTGCTGCTGTCCCCACAGCACCACGCAAAACATCACGAAGGAGCCAGGTAGAACGCAGATGGATTCCCTCAGCTCTGACACAGGAGAAGCTGCAGCGATAACATGGTCTGGGAATAGCAGAGCCACTGTGTATTAATAACCGCATGACGCACTGCGGCTGATATACGAGTTTGGCACGTTACGGGGGGAAGAATATGCCTGCCGCTGATCTCGCTGGCAGGGCATTTCTTACACCTTCCAGCACACGCAGCCCACTGACAACTGTTTTATAAGGCTTCCACTAACAAACCCTAGCCGAGCCTTTCTCTGCAGCCCCAATATACGTACACGTTATCACGCGAGGCTGAGTTCTCAGAGATGAAAGTGTGCGGCCGGCGCGCAAACACGGCACACGTCAGGATCTCGGGTGACTCAAATACACTTACACAGCTCCAGTATCACGCGGGCTGATAACAGAAGTTACTTCACCCCTGCTGCCCGGACCTGACTGTCTCCAAGGCACAGGGGACTTCCAGCTTTCGCCCAGCAAGCCTTGTAAATCCCCGCTGGGACGTACCCACCAGGGCGTGTTAGTAGATGTCTCCATTGTTTCGTTTCATGGGTCGGGATTTGTTTTCTGTGCTTGCGGGATACTGCAAGCTGCAAAAAACACCCAACAATAACAAGAAAAGCTCTTAAACAAAGGCTCTATTATTACCAGGGGGAGCATTTTGAAACCATAAACTATGCAAATATTCATGCATTTATGGGCTGGTAAGTCCAAAGTCCATAAGCTTTTTGGCATGAATGATTGAGTCGGCGTGCTGGCTGTGTGCAGAGCAGTCACTCAAGTCAACTTACCTATGTATAGCTTTTGCAGTTGTGATCCTATTCTTGAGATAGATGATGCTCTTCAAAACCCAAATGATTTCAAAGAACTGCAGTCATTACACAATGCCATAATATAACACTGCCTGCTTGGATCTCTGCTGTAACAAGAGGGCACCAGCAAGGGAAAAGCCCTCATCTCTTTGGTAACATTCAGACTTTTAGTGCCAAAACCAAACTATTGGAAACTGTCCTTCTTTCTCGTGCACCACTGCAAGAACGACTCACACCGTTCCAATAGGTTGAAAAGAGAAAATCACAATTTCACAATTGACTCGTTCTACATCATATTAGATAAAGGCAAGTCCAAAACCAGATGTTTTTGTGCTGTAAAGTCTAGCAGTAATAACATGATCTGATGATCTACAGACATCTCCTAGCACTATCTATCAAAGAGAGCTCCAGGAGACTTGCGGTGAGACTGTAAGCCTTTTATTTCGCAGTTCCCTGGCTCCCTTTTCAGCCAGGGAAGTGTGTTTTCTTTAAAAATCAATTGCTCCTCCACAGACCCGTGAGACCTAAGCGCAGGGGTTAAAGGCCAGCGTCCACTTGTGTAAATCGCCTGCCAGGCTCCGAGCTGACAGCCGTGCCCCTGGCCGGGCCACGCATTCAGAGCAAGAGGTCGTCTTGCCAGAGCTGGGCTGCGCCACGCGGCACTGATAGCAGTGGGAAGTATTTTTAAGAATGTATATGTTAAAAATACATTTTCAAACATATTTAAGAGTTCATCGTGTTCTGGGGAACTTCTGCTGCCCAAACTTGATAGCTTTATAACGTATATGATGATAGCACTGTAGCTTATATGACCAAAAGGCCACAATTTGTCACTCCTTTTCCTTTCTAACATCCCAAGAAATTCCTACAAGTGGAAGGAGGGAACTATCTTACCAAGCCATGCATCATTCAGCAGGACCTGGTTCATGATTACAACTATTTGCTGAAGATAGCTATGAAGAATTCATTTCTTCAGTGCTTCGCATGCTGGGTTTTTCATCACGTAAGACACTTCATTAGTCTTGTGAGATGTAACTACACTGAGGAATCGGTAAAAGGCACCTGCTTTCTTCGTTCCTCATATTTAAAAATTGTATTTTAAAAATAATGCAGATTCTCCTTTACTAATGTATTGTATTTTTAATAACCTTCACTGCTAGTATTCAGAAAGCAAAATTCCATTCTGAAAACAGACTGGGACAAAGCTGGAGGTTCACATAACTTCTTGCCAAGCAGCATTAGAAGATGTTGTAGGTAAAGGAACATATTGCCGAATATTGCCTGTAGCCGTGTGTTCACTCCATGCAACATGTGTGTATTTACACGCTCCCAAATTCTCTGTCCCCTTCAAGAGACTTTGAAGAACATGCTACAAATCAATCACAGAAACAACCTCTTACAGGCCATGCAACACACTTAGCAGCACAAAGCTGGAGAAACATCCTATAGCATTCCAAGAGAAGCACATTATATAAAAATTATTAGGCAGGTTGGCATTGCTTTCAGACTTTAAATCCTAATGGCTCTATTTTTCAAATGGATCTACCCTGGGTTATCTTGAATATCTGCAACACAACGCTGCGGTACTCACACGGCAATTTCAACAGCTCAGCCATAACCGCACACATATCTTTCATAACCTTGGTGGTGGTTTTAATCTACCTCAAACAATTATTGCTCCAGTAAGTATTTATTTGGCCACTGAAACAATCATCGTAGTCATCATGGAATAATATTTTTCTTTGTTCCTATAAAATAATAAAATAAAATGAAGCTTTTTTTTTTTTCTGTACTTCTTTAAAGTCTTAAACAAGGTCATGAAGTTCTCTGGAATGCAAAAGAGCAGTACCTACCTGTTAAAAAACATTACAGGTAAAGCACCAAAATGTTTTGGCTATTGGAATGATGCTTGCTGAAGCTCCAAGTGTAGCCAGACCAAACTGATAGTATTTGGCACCAAGACCACGTTTTCTGTGTTCAAAGAGCACGTGAAAATTGCTTCTCACGCTACTCCTGCATATTGACCTGTAGTAAAACAACAGTGGGTGTGCAGAGAGGTGGCGGATGGATGGATGCAGACAGACTGGGGGGTACAACGAAACGCCGAGGCAGCATCATTAACACAATAGGTACATACGACTCACACCACACCAGTGGCTCAAAAGATTAAGCTTCCATAGATATCACATTAGATATTCCAAAACACGCCACTTTCCTTTCCTAAAATTACAGCCAATGAAACCTGCCATTCAGCTGATCATTTAATATTACATATGAATCCTTCTGAGAATCCTGTGCCCTGTAAGTATGGCCTAAAATGCATTTACATCTTTCTTGGAGAAAGACATTACAAGTATAAAACCAATCCTTGGAAATACTATGGACAAATCATTGATAATTCCTCTGTTAGTATTGCCCTTGTGCAAAAGGCCAATCCTGATTTTACCTTTGTGCAAAAGGCACATAGGAAAGTGAATCCTATTTCTTAATGTCATCTGTAGTGCAAGTAAACCCCAACCACTCTTACCTGCGTATCTGTTACGGAGAAAACAGTGGGATTTTTGGAGTAAGTTAACTTTCTGTCTGCAAAACAACGACTAGATGGGATAGAAATACACAGATAAGCAAAGCACACAAAAATCCCCTTTGAAAAACAACAGCGTGCTCTACCTCGTACTCTCCACGTTGCCAGCTGAAATCCTTGAAATCCTGCAAGGTCCGGTGGGAGGAATAAGCAAGAGGACATTTAGGCTCAGCATGCAGTAACAAAGCGTTCCTTTCTATCCCATTTATTTATTTGTTTCTCCTCCCAGAAGACAAATCTGTAGGATCGTCACGCTGGTAACAATGAGCCTCGACAAGCGGCATCAGCGTGGCACGCCAGAACAACTTTTCAGCAGAGGACAAAACCTAAAGAGAAGCATCCCGTCCTTGCTGTTTTCCACAAGGCTTCATTCTGTTCCGATAGACACATCACCATGAATATCCTCGTGGGCATTTTAAACGCTATAATTTCAGCTCTGAGGTTTTGCAAGCTTTGTTTTGTGTGGTGCATGCGATCATAAACA